CACCGCTGCCTTGACCTCGCAGGTCCCTCCTAGACTTGCACAGTGTTGAGTATTTGTTGCTGCTAGAAACGCCACGCGCAGGATTAGCAACTCCGTTTGGGCCCAGATAACGAGGACTCCTGTTTCCCTGATGCGCCACGTGCCGCTCCATTATCATACCGTCCCCTGTCACCCTTGTACCAACGTGTCGTGTGCCCCAATTATTTAAGCTCAACAGGAATCAGGACTCGTGGTAGAGGTGATGATATCTTTTATTAGGCCAGCTCGATTTTTGCAAAAAAAATTCTTCTTTAAAAAAAAATTTTTTTTTTAATCTAGTTGGTCTAATAAAAGATATCATCACCTCCACCACGAGTCCTTTTGCCTGTAGACCAACAACCCGGATGCCTTAAGATCAACAGGAAATGGGAAGGACCTGTAGCTTGAAAACTTCCTTTCCACAGTCCCCAAAGGATGATAAATGAAACATGGGCCCAGAAGTACCGTGACCCCTAAAAAATGGTATTTGTTCCACCCCGTGCTGCTTTGCACCAATAACATATGGTTCACACACTGTGGTTTCACCACGGCGTTTCTCATGCCGAGATGCTAATTTGGAGCATAAAGGAAATGAAATAATTGTTGGGTTTTTTTGTTTTTGTTTCTCGCAGGGCTTGATTAAAATCCGAGGCGACCGCTGCTGGAGGGACTTGACCTGCATGTATTATCATTACGAGGTAAGTGGTTTCTTGTCTGCTTTACTTTGCAGGTAAATCTCTTTTCCCTATGTCTTGACTTCTAGTCGGTCGCAGTTGTTTCTGGGGATCTCTCTTGAACGCAATCAGTAACCATGTGTGAGCTCTAAGAGGCAGCTTTGTTCCCCCCACAAACCCATGAAACCCGTTCCTCCCGCTCTGGTTTGAATCAGGAGTCACACCATGAGACCCAGTGGAGTTCCCCACCGCATAAAAGTACCTCCAGTGGAGACCCGGCCGTTAACGTGCAATCCAACCCCGTCTTTTCTGTTGGATTTCTGTAGGTATTTTGGGTTGTTTCCCTCCGAAACATTTTTAGCTTTATGCGACTGAATGAAGTTTTTCACAAGCCTGTCTAATGAGCGCACAAAGGTTTATTATGCTTGGAAGGACTGATTTAATGAGCCAGCTTCCTGCCCATGAAATTTGGAGGAACCAGTTGCAGTCGTATCGTATCGTTAACGTTGGCGCTCAGAAGCAGCGCCAGATGGATGGGCTTTGCAACCATTGGACCGTCGTGTTCATTTTGGGTAGATGGAATATCTGCTCGCTTTTTTTCCTTTCTTTTTTTGCCTCCCAAGCGGGGTGCTTTTATATAGTCCAGGCTCGATGCTTTAAAAAATGACCGGTCATTTGTAACTGTCTCCATTTTTTCTGTAGTCAGGTCCAAGCCTCCTAAAGGGAAATGATTTTTCAGCAAACAGGTGCTCAACACTTCCTAGGACTGAGGCCTCTTTCCGGAGCATCAGGTCGATACCCCAAAACTGAGGCTCTCCAAGTTGCTAGTGGCTTTTGAAAACATCTTGGCTCATGTTTTGGTTTCCTCCCTTGCTTGAGGTTTGCATTGAAGTCAGTAGGAGCTTGTTCGAATCAGGACTGTGTAACGGTCTTGGGATCTGGCCTTAAGAGCTGTCGTATGGGTGAGAGGAAATATAGGAAATTCCTCCACCGCGTTGTTAAACGGATTTAGTTTCTTCTTCCAAGATGTGGGCATACTTGAGCAAAAACGGGGCGCACACACAAGTGCTATGAATGATGCTGAGCTTGAATCGTTTGGATCTCATTATATACCTCTATGCTGTTCTCTTTGCCTGCTGAAATCCATCCTAGCGATTTTTCTTTCCACCACAATTCGTAATTGGGCTCCAGGCATTTATTACCAAAAGAGCAGAAACACCCTGCATTCGTATGGCCATAATCTGGATTTGCAGCTGATCGCAACTCAGGATTAGGAGGAGGAAGATGCCAGTAAAATGGTCAGATAAATCTGGTTTTTTGGGTACATAATCAAGTTAAATCGGTGAAAGGGGCTGTACCCAAGCCCAAAGTGCTGTCCACACCAGTCATATTTGAGAACAAGGCCTTAATTTCCAAAACACAAGAAATGAGAGAAACATGACCAGCTGCTAACAACATTTCCTTTTTCCATTTTTAGGCTAGTCAAAACAGGCTAAATTCTGTGAAATAAATTTGCAGGGTGCTAGGTTGGAAACCAAGTTGTGACGTTTTCGGTTTGTTTGGTATGTATATATTTATTTGAAATATTGAAAGGAGATCTTGCATATGGGTAACAAGCATCTAGGCTGGCATAGCATAGTGTCATTTCTATTATTCTTCTGTTGCCATTAATTAATTGAGTTCTTTGGGGTCGACATAATGCATGAGGGCATCTAAAGGTTTTAGACATGCAGACCCTGCGCGGGTAGCCAAAGCTGGCCACGGCAGACTGTCCCCAGCTGTCTTCTGCTTTGGGAGGGTAACAAAAGCATCACTTGATTATGTACCCAAGGAAACAACATTATACACCTGGGACTATTCAGACAAAATCCAACTCAACCCAAGGTCACTGGGCTTCCATCACCGTCTCCCTCGAGTGACCCAAACCTTCAACAATCAGCCTGAGTAGTCTTAAAAAAAAAATTGGAAATCAAAACCAGAATCAGCTCTGAAGCCCAGAAAGTTAATGAAGACCAGTTCTGTTGTGTCCGTGATGTAGGATCACCAGCCCGCAGAAGTAAGTAATCAGGAAGAGGGGCATAGAGCAGATCACATTATAAATTATTTAAATCCACCACAGATAAAAAAAAGAGGTCAAATTGAAACTCTCCGAGATGAAGGACCAAAATACACCTGCTGATTTTGAACCCTCCCCCCCAGCATGCTGTTCTCGTGATGTTTCGGATAGAAATCTTTGACAAAATTGTCACCGGGCAGCCAGCGCTAATTGGAAAGGAGCGTTCAACTTGCTTGTTTTTTCCCAGCGTTCGGTCTTTTGGACGAGACGTGAAAGCAACCACCTGGCCGTTTGGGGGTTATTAAAGTCCTGGCGCATAGACCACTTCCACCTCCAGTAACGTTTCTATTTGGTTGGTTCATCGCAGGCAGCTTGACAGGGGCTGTAGCCCAGAAAAAAGTATTCTTGGCATAATTCTGGCTTATATGCCCACTTGAAATAAAAACCCATCGCCCGCAACCCTGAAACTCTTGTGTTCTCCCTGGTTATTCTAAAGCCAGACCTTTCCATATCTACCTTTATACCGCCAGGTTGTACCACTAATTTGCACCAGTGGAAAGAGTATCTCCATCCCTTTAGCAACTTAGTTCATGCCTGTTTACCAGCTGCCATTCCTGTCCTGCTGCAGAGAGGTGGCCTGGAGAAATTCAGTACAGAAGGGTGAATCGGCATCAAATGAAATGGTGAGAGGAAAAGAAATAGAGAAGAGACCATAGATGCAGAGGACTTTGCAAGGCAGGGAAGATACAGGACAGAGGAGGTTGCTCGTCATGAAAATACTTGTCATGAAAATGATAAAACTGGGTCTTGGCCCAACTTGCAGGTGGAACGGAGCCAAGTTGAGCCTGCGTTGATGTCTGTTGGCCACCCCGGCTCTCGTCTTCCAGCCCTGCGTCCAATCCAAAATCTACATGTACTCACTTGCCAAGAGAATTAATAAAAACACATGGCCCCCGTCTCGTCCATGCCGAGCCTACGCTGTACTATTTATTTGTAGTAGAGCTAGCAGCTACGCTTGTGGAAAATAACATTTCCACTTTGTTGGAAATCATGTATAAAATGTTTTTATGGCTTGGGTAATTAAACAGAGCGTATTTCCCCCCCGCTTCCCTCCCTTTCTTTATAATGCCGGGGGCCTTAATCCAAGCCTTTATGGAGAGCCATTCCCCAGTTTCAGTTTGGACGGCTTCAGACCCTCTATTTATGCTGTTCTGAGGAGGAAATGGCCCAGCATACCGTTCACACTGAAATGGTGTTTTCCAGCCTGTGCTGCTCGCTAGATGATGGATGCTCCTTTTTTCTTGAACAAGTAGGTGCACTCATGTAGCTGGAGGAGCGGAAGCAAAAAGACACTGGCGTTCACATAAAATGCAGGATATGTCTGATATTTTCCCTTCTGCTTTTACATGCTTAACAGCCACTCAGCCAACCAGAAACCTGGACATGGCGAGCAGAGAGTCTATAAATTAATCATAGCTCAAAATGCGTCACAAGTTCTCTTCTCACCTTGGCCAGTCAGTTTGAGCAAGCTTCCTAACCTCTTTCTGCCTTAGTGTCTCCACTTGTGAAAATGGCAGTGCTTATGTCTGTTGGGGAAGTCACGAGTTTTAATGACATGCTTATACTTTGGAAGGGACTTGGTTTATACCTTTGCCCGTGCTTTGCACACACAAGCGAGCATGTACACCTTGCCAGTGAGGTGCACCTACGTGTTGAGTTTTCGGATGCAGCAGACAGATGTGTGTAAGAGTGCATGCATAATGATGAGTTATGTCATAGAAAATTCAGGTTGGAAGGGACTTCAGGAGGTCACATCTAGTCCGAACCCCTGCTCCAAACAGCACCAGCCCCAGCCCCAGCTACATCATCCCAGCCTATATCATCTGACCTGCCAATTGCTACTGCTTGCTATTATTCATTAGCACAGCAGGAACTGCTGGGGTCAGATTAATGGTGCATTGTGCTTCTTCTAGTCCTTTGACCACTTGTTAAATTGGTGGCCTTTTTGCTATATTTGTTGAAAACTGTTAATTGCCATTCATTTGCTTGAAGTCTGCCCGTTTTTAGTAAATGGGAAGGGGGTGGTAGTCGTTATCGTTGTAGTCATTGCCTATCTACTATACATATGCAGTTGCTTCTAGAATAGAGCTAGTTAATGCTTATGCTGGAGCTATGGCTTTGCTCCCCCTTGGTTTTAATGGGCGCAGAAGCTGGTTCCCAGAGCTGGGTGAGGCAGAGTCTGTGCCCTGCAGCATTCGCATTTTGGAGCAGAGGCTGGTCCACTCCACCTGGCTTTTGAGATTCCCCTGCAATGGGGATTCCCCGCTGAGCTTCTTGCTAATTGAGCTGGCTTCTGTGCCATTTTCCATGCAATCTCTGGGTGGAAATGGCAGGGTTTGGTTGCGAGAGCATTGCTGAGCTGGAGATTGTTCCTGAGGCACTCTGGGTTTGTGGATGTTTGCCATTTGGAGCAGATTAGAGTAGCCTTATGGACTGCTCTAATGTGCATCAGGATTGAGGGCCCAACAGAGGTCCTGTGTGACTCCAAGGGGCTGCTTTCTGGTCCATGCTTCACCACATTGAGAACAGCAGAGGCTCTGGCCCATCGTTTGCTGATTCTGCCTTGCCACTCAGTTGGCATAAATGCAACGGCTGTATGTGCTCCAAGAAGGGAAGTCCCAATGAAGGGCCGATAGCTGGAACAGCCATCCGCGGGTGCAGATGTCCGAACGACGC